CTCAGAGTTAAATAAATTTTTTTTTTCATGAAGAAAAAAGTAAGATCTGAAATGCAATTTTCACATGGCTCTAAAATCTCTAAAGGGTATAATGGGTTTACTGAAATGTCACATGAGAAGTTTTGTTCGTTATTCTTGGTCTGTGAAATTGTATACTATGCATTGTTAATCAAAATTGTGCTTTCACATTATTTTAATACACAGCTTCTAATTGCATTCTGTCTTCAATATAATAATAGCAGATTATATTTTTAAAAATCTGTATGGAGACCAAATGGAAAAGGGCCCAGTCAATTCTCGCAGTAATATTTGGAAAAAAAAAATCTTACAAAGTTAAAATCAACAACAACTACTGTAAAGATTTTGTTAAGTTCTATGTTGAAGTGCTAACTGTAACTACCAAGTTTTGTGCTAGTCTGTTTAACCCTGTTAGAAAATAAAATGAAAATACCACAACAGATCTATGAAGTAATACCACCTTTCTTACAAAAATACATTTAGAAAAGTTAAATTCTACAATATCTCACAATAAACCTAGTTCACAGTGCTTTAAGAAGAAAAAAGTAAAAACTGTTGGTATCATTCATAGCTGTAGCTAATGTTGCTTCTAAGTTGAGAAATAATTACTCATTACATAGTTAAGCCTTGTGGTTATCTTATATTCACTTAATTGTTATAAATAAATAAATAAATATATATATATATATATTTATATATATAGCTAAAATGACCCATCTATATTTAAATTTTGTACAATATCTTTATCACAGAATATATCATTTTTCATTTCCTGAGCCTACTCCTAGTTTAACCAGCAGTCATACATTACAGAAAAAGATGTAGAGTTTGGCCATGCTTTCTTCAAGTTTACAGACATTTTTATAATAAAATTCCCATACCAAAAATTATTATGTTGTTAAACATTTTCAGCACCTTGTAGTGCTGGTGTAACCTGGTATAGAAAATAGTAGATCTTGTAGTGTTAGTGTAAACTGATATAGAAAATAGTAGACCTACCATTACAACAAGTAAAGATTAACATAGTTCTTTTGCTTTAAAGCTTATAGTACATAAATAGTGGGTAAATGTTAGTTATAACTGTTTTTAAAAAAAACATTTTGGAAATGATAGACTATTAAAAATAAGATCAAGATATTATTACTTTTTAATTTTTTGTACAGCAACTTTTTGTGAATTCTTCTTTTTTTTTAATGTTACTACTATTATCTTGTTATTAAAAACAAAAGCTCAACCCCAATACAAAACTTCTTAGCTATATAAAAGTTATTTTTTCAAAATGATAAATCTCAAATCATCATCTGCACTACCTATAATTCTTGGATATCATGAAGTAACTTCAACATTCTGCCCTCAAATTAATGATTTGTTTTACATTATTCACTGGTGGTGATGCCCACATATTGAGTAATTTTATGTTTTTGCCTGTTATAACAAGAAAAAATAAATTTAGGTGAGTGAGATTAATAGCAATACTGACAGAATTTTGCTTTTAAATTTTTTGCGTGTATTGTATGTTATTATGGGCTACAAGTATCCCAACAGTAGTATATAATTATGAATATTATCAACAATTAAGTAATTCCTATAAGAATTTTACAATTCTAGAAGTATATACCAGCAACATGCATTCTAGCAGTCAGGTTAGTTATTCTGACTTAGCTACCATAGGGAAAGTTATTGTATCCATTTATATTTTATTTTACTTTTACGTGATACAAATTATTTTCTAACCACCTTTTTTTTTGCATGTGATACATTTAAAAATATTTTATCAAGTTTCAATACAGAGAATACCATATACAAATACACTAGACAGCAATCTAACTTATTTTTTTCTATACCTTTCTGTGACTAATATTTGAACTGCAGTGATTTACCCTAGTAAATAGAGCTCCAGGCAAAATGAAAATAACATATGGTATCAACACATATACATAATCCTGATAAACAACAAGGGTGATGCCACCCACTCAAGACCTTAAAAAGAAAACCAGTTTGAATAACATCTATAATGGTCATGGCCTACAAAAACTTCCAGTTGAGCTGTAGATGACTGTTTTATGGAGAGGACTGGCAGCCATCTTATGTATACAAAACTATGTATGTAACTGACTTTGTCTAATGCCCCAACATTAATTATTTTACAGAACATGTATGTACATCAAAGGAAACTTTAGGATGAAAGTAATTCTAATTAGACCATTGAAAGTCTACAAAACTTTACTTATCTTTCTAAGCATTTTTATTGATAAAATATTCAATAATTTTGAATAAAAACAATAATTCCAATTCTAAATTTTCTACATGTATACATTTTACATTATTATAAAGTACTTAAAAACACTAATTCATTCAAACAATATACATTGTAGAAATGTTTCTTGAATTATCCTGGAGGCCAAAGCTCTACATGTCACAATGTACAGATAGTAGGACTGAAAAAAATATACTGTACAAAAGACAGTTAATATATAGATGTTATGGGAAATGTTACAGTGACTACCTATAGTCCGTTTAATATACCTTTATTTTTGAAAAGTTTTAACTGAAGAAAGTAGCACAACTCAAAATCACATATAGATAACTTTAACTTGAAGAGTAAAAAAACAA